ATATTTTAGATGAAATTGGAGTAAATAAAGTCCATCAAAATTTTATGTAATTTAAATGCGAGATTTGAAATTAAAATGTCGCAATAGCGTATAAAAAATATCGGTACTTTCAAAACCTTGTAGAAATGTGTAGCAATAATTTCTAAAATAACGATTGCAAAATAATTTGATTTGCGATAAAATCGTTACAAATAAGCCATGTCAAAAAATGGTTATCTAAATGAGCGATTCTTTACTCGCGATTCGTAATAATATCGTGCTAAAATATCGAAGTTTTAAAAACCGGGCGGAAATGTGCAGCAATAACTGTTGAAGAAAGGATCTAAAGTCATTTAGATTTTCCATGAAGTTTGCACAAATAAAGCGTTTCATAACTTTCAAAAATCGCTATTTCAGAAACTACTTGAAAATGGGTAGCAATAACTACCGAAAAGTCATTGGAATCGGCACATACGAAAAGCGTCAAAAGTGGTAATTAAAATTCGTAAATCGTAATAATGATGTATTAAAAATATTGGGATTTTTAAAACTATGCTGAAATCCGTAGCGTTAACCATCGAAAAACTACATTGATTGAGATTGGGTGCGTCAAAAACTTAAAACTGTAAATTTAAATTACCATGGCTAACATTTAAGCAGTATCCTGACTTCTCCTACATGCTAAATGACAAAGTAACTATAACCGCCCAAGCAATGATACACAAAAGTCTGCTTCCTTTCTTCAGTATATACGGCTTTTCATAACTTATTTATGTTTCATGAAATACAAATTAAAATGGATTCAACTCTGAAAAACCCTGTATTATTCTAAACTACTTAAATGTGACACTCAGATTCTTGTCTTGTGCATAATGTAGTTGAACAAGGGAGAAATCAAAAAGTGCACTTCAGTAAGAAATGCTAAGTTTTCAAATTCATGATTATAGCAAAGGCTTAGATGACACATAACAATTAGCTGTGCCCTTTACTCATATTATACAAATGTATATCTGGAACTCAATTCCTTTTTTCAATAAACACTTTTTCAACTCTACATTAACACTACTTAATTTGTCATTCAGTTTTGAACTTTTTAATAATTAAGTCAGACATGTGAAATAGCTAATCCAATAGGTTTATGTGAACTTCATGAAGAAATTTACTTTATTTCTAGAAGAAAAATTTTTGTTTGCATCATTGGTAGCAGAAAATTCTTTTTTTGGTTGCAGAAACTCTTGCAACTAGGAGATACTTCAACCATTTATCAATCAACATCACAAGTTTTACCATTTTCATCAACTGATAAATAAATATCAAATGTGTTTTTCCAAAAATGTAACAAATCTTCATCATCAGCAATCAGTAGATACTGTTCTTAAAACGAAATAACTTCAAAAATGAACTAAACGGGTATTATTAACATTATAAAAATAGATAGCATATGTGACGGGACAAGTAAACAAGATGATGCATACTGAAAAACGAAAGATGCAAAACAATGGATTTATGATCCATTGTATTACAACTATTTATTGTGCATACAAATCATTCTTTTTAAGAAATTAAAAAAATAATTAAATAAAAAAATACCTGATAAAGTAATATTCGGAGGAGGAAATGTTTGAGAGTCAGAAAACACTCCAAAAGTTGATGATGAGTACGGATCAGTAACATTAACTGCTTCGGTAGAGCCTGTAGTTACGCGCAAAAGACTTGAAAGGTCATCTAAAATTAGTTAAAATTACATTATAACATTGATATCTAGTAGTAAAAAACCCCAGCTAAAATGCAAGATAGGAAACTTCAAATGTACAAGAACATGATACAAATTCTTTTTAATAAAAGAAATTAATATAATTTCTTGTAATTAAAAAAACTAAGTGTACAAATTATTAAAAATCCTAATTTCTCCTGAATTTTTTTAAAATCTAATTCAATCAATGATTCCGAAGTATGATTTGTGAATTAGGTCAATATGAACACCAAATAATATTTGAAAGATATAACTATAAAATAATGACGCCCGGTGGCTGAGCGGTAGCGCTGTCGTGCCACAGGTCCCTGGTTCAACCCTCGGGCCGTGCAAGGTTGACTCAGCCTTTCATCCCTTCAGTGGGTCGATAAATGAGTACCAAGCATGCTTGGGAACTAAACACTGGGGGTTCTGCGTTCGGCTGACCACCTGACCGGAACATCTGCTCCTGCACCCCAGAGCCCAAGGTCAAGAAAACTGAGACGGGCACAGTAGGCCTTGGCCCTCTATGGGCTGTCATACCGCTAAGTTTAGTTTAACTATAAAATAATATATTGAAATATATAACTTTGAAAGGTATAGTTTAAAGAGCCATGAATTGCATTAATATGAATTGTAAATCATAATGGTGATTTATAATAATTTAATTCTGATTAGTCATCTGAAAATCATTTAAATGGAAATATGAGTGAGTAGAAAATTAGGTACTATAACGTGAATTATGATTTAGATAACAGTATTGAGTGAATCAGGACATACAATTCGTATTCTAAAATATTTTATAATACTTATTAATAAATTTTTAAAGAATAAATAAATATATAGAAATAACCAGGTTTTAAAACTAAAATAATGGACTGTGGTATTTAACTAGAACACAATCATCATTGTATTTAATTAGCAATTAATAATATATAATATAGTTTATAATACTTACACTGGGGATAAAACAACCAGGTAGCTTTTTCAAAATATGCTACGATTAAAACTAATGAAGAGACAAAAATAATCAAACTCCCAAAAAGAGCAGAACTAATACAACAGATGAAGAGCCTAGAAAAAAATAAATATATAGTAAAACAAAATTGTTCACTTCAAAATAAAATTCTCTAAAAAACCTCAAAATTATTAATTAACCTGTAATTTCTTCCTCCTACACAATTGTTCAGCCATTTACAATGATGATCAAATTCAGATACACATTTATTGCAAGCACTGCAGTGTTTAGACTTTTTACCACTAGAAATAAAAATAAATGTAACACACATAATCAATAAACAATATATTTAAAAAATCATGACACTATATTGACACTTACACTTTAACTTCACAAATGTGACAATATTCATTCTCAATAACGTGACTATGCTTTGAACGATCAAATGATGGTAAAGGACCAGTGATACCTTTGGCACGAACATTAATATCAGCTGGGTTTAGAGATACGCTGATTAAATGTATCACAATATGAAAGGTAAAAACTAAGCCATTTATCTAAAAAATCTATTAAGAATCATTTACTGATAAGAATAAATACAAAAGAATATCTTTATAATGTTAACATTGAAATGAGTGACCTTGTGTTAGATAGAATTCCGTATTATATATATATTCACTATTAATGCTTTCAAATAACTTTAAAAAATAGTTTTAAACAAAAATATATACTTATGCACACAGATAGAAAAATAATGAAATTACCAAGAGCATTAGAAATAAAATCTAAGCCTATCAATTTAGGTTTGCTTTAAAGAGTGCAAAGTTAATGCTGTTTATGGAAAATAGTAGTTTAACTGTAGAATAACTCAATAAATTCAACAGTCTGGGATAAAATAAATTACAGGAATTAGAAATGAATATATATAAATTTAAAACCAAAGTACAGAAAAGAATCTGTTTTCAGAAAAAAAGTTGCATTTTTACCATTTAAAAAATAAGAGCCAACATAAAATTTTAAATTAACTTCCCTTTTATTTTTAAAACCAATACCTCAAAATAATGCATGTAACATTGTAATAAGCAGATCATTCAAAAATATGAGAGTACAGTACAGAACCCGTTATCCGGAAATCAGAAAACCGGAAAACCAAAAAACCGGAACAAAATTCGATAAATTTTCTCGCCATTTTTAAAAAAAAAATTTTTTTTTCCTCGTAAGATTTTACGATTTTTCTTTCTTTTTTTAAAGATGTTTACCTTACCATCATTTTGGAAATAATCATTAGTGTATTACTTCATCGTTTTTTCTTATTTTTAAGATTATTTACAAAAATATTTTTTTTTAGTTGGGTTTAACAATAAAAAAACGGCTTTTTGTAGCGATTCAGAAAACCGAAAAAATCAGTTATCCGGAATAGCGATGGTCCTGACCGTTCCGGAAAATCGGTTCCCTACTGTACCTAATAAATAATATTGAGATTAAAAAAAAAAAATATTAATTGTTGAGTACATTTCAAAATATCAAACAAATTCCTTTTAGCATAGAATAGAAAGAACATTTTAGATCCATTGTCACAAAAGAAAATAAACATTTTTTAAAAAGTTATTTGAAAAGCATTAATGCTTCAATTACAAATAAATGCATAAAAAAGGATACAGTATAAGCAGATATCCTCCAAGCACCTTCAGGCATATTAGGAACTAAAACTCCAAAATATAAAACAGCAAACATAAGGAGGAAAAACCAAGCTAAAACCTGAAGTGGATGAAGAGGAAGAGACCATCCATTTTGACGACTCCACCATTTGTTTTCTTTAGTTACCTTTAAGTTAATGGCCATCTAATAAACAAAACAAAAAAAGAGCATAAAATTAATTTATTGAATACTGATTACTCACGAATATAAGATGTGATATTGTATGACAGGATGAATAATTCAGTCAAAATATAAACAGTTAAACATTCATGATAAAAATTTATAAGTAATATTGCTTTATATTACTAATTACTTTACAAGTAATTAAATATTGGTATCTATGCACTGGCTGAAATACTGTTGAGTACATAATACCCTCATCAAGTAAAAGAAGATATGAGTTTCAGCCCATGGAAATATTACATAAAAATGAATTCAAAGTTTTATGCAGAATTTTTTTTAAGGAAGGGATGCATTTAATTAAATAGAAAGCAACATATATGAATTTAAAGGTTCAATTGGACAATGTATTCCTATTTCAAATATATGAGATACATCATTAATAAATTCCACAAAAAAAAATTTGCACGAGATGGGTTTTTCTTTTAAGGACAGGATGGTCTTTTATAACAAAAAATTGGTTTCCTCTAAGTTATTTAGTTTGCATATAACAAACAAGTTTATGAATTTTGCTTAGATTCAAAATGCTTGATAGGTCAGATTGGTGGTTTGCAATTTTTTTTTTTTCTGGTAATAGAACCCTAAATTATTGAATTCCTTTCAGCAAAACTCCAACTTTATAAATAATAAAGTACAGAAAAACATAAAATAACGTATATAAGAACAATTGTGAGCGCAAATTAATAAAAGATTATTTTATTTTTAAAATATTTAATAAGAATGAAATGTTTTAATTAATAATCTTAAATTAGGTTTTATATCTGACAGTTGAATCCACACTTCAAGAGCTGTATCTAATTTAGTTTTAAAAAATTTTCTACAAAGAACATATTAGAAAAAAAAAAGAAATATTTCTTTATTAATGATTTTAGTTAATTTCTTTTGATTTGAAAAGTGCAATGAGAAATATTAAAGCAATTTTTCCTAGATACAAGTCCTTATCATAGTTCAGTCAAAATATTAGTAAAAAAAATTATATATTTTTTTATTAGTTTTACTTGGAATAATTTCAAAAAGACATATTATTAATTATAATAATATGTCTCTTTGAAAAATAATTCAAAATAAATATTATTAATTAGATCTAGAAATAAATATTATTAATTAGATCTAGAAATAAATATTATTAATTAGATCTAAATATAAGGTTTCAAAAATAGTCATTGTGAAGTAAATAAAAATGCCTTAACTCCTGAAAGTTTTTTTTCTTCAAACTTCTTCACTTCACTTCTTTTTACTTAACATAGAAATGTTAATTAACCAGCTAATGCAACATTTCTATGTTAAAAAATAGTAAATAAGCATGTGATCCTTGAAACTCAGAACCATAAAAATTTGATAAGGCAAAACTGTTCCTGTTAATTTTTTCATAAAATAACTGAAGTCTCAAAAAGTTTGGAACAATTAATCCTGATGGTAAGGGCTTAGGTCTGAATTATGCGTGTCTGATAAGCAGATGTCACTTTTTACTAGCATTATTATTACTATTAGCGATGAAAAGATGTTTGATCAAATATACAAATCTTTCAAATTATACATATAATCTTAATTCTAGGTAAAAAAATCCACATTTTTATGCATGATAATAAGGATAATCTGAAGACACTAAAATTCAATGCAAAACATTTTCGATTTGGAAGTTCAGGATAAATACAAACTTTCAGTTAAACTTGCTATATCAAATTTTTGATCTAAACATTTGCACAATCAATCAATAAATCTTACAAAAGACACAGTCATATGAATTATTAAGATTGTAGCCAGCAATAAATTTTGGAGAGAGGAAGCAAAATAAGTCATAGTAAATTAACTTTAAATCTATATAATAATCAGTTTAATTTTAAATCAATAAACTTAAATTATTGTAACTTACTGTACTATTTGAAATCATAGATTATAACTGAAAAGCATGCTCATTTTTATATTTCATTAATATCATGACTTAAAGAAAATACTTTTAAATTTGTATTAAAACAATTATGAGTGAATGAATTTAACAATTGCCATCTTTGAAATTATAATGTGTTAAGACATCATCAGAAATTCCATAAACTGGCAAAAGTCTATTAGACTAATGTTTAGTTATCTAGAATAAAAAAGTCCAGGAAAAGAACAAAATTATCGAAAACAAAAGTCAACTAGATAAAAATTAACATGCCTATACTTAAATAGGCCGACTAAAGTTTTCCTTTACAACTTTGGAAGGAATAACTGCTTTTTGCACCTCACCATTACAAAAATGGCATTGATAGTTGTGGAGGTTAGATATATCTCTACGGTTTGCCTGGATTATGAATAAACGAGTAGAGAATTTATTTTGTTTATGACACTGATGCATCAGTACATAGTATATAGAAAAATTTGCTTAATTAGAACTCTCGCTAAAATAATCACCAGTTTTTATGGAATTCTTGGCAGTGGCCCATGAGAAATTATAAAAAAAATACATCACAGAGAGATATAACTCATAACCATGTGAGCAAACCTTCAATTTCTTTAAAAAATTTACGAACTAAAAATAGCTTTAAAGATTAGAATTGGTGGAGAGATATCCATATCAGGATCTGTGGCAGAATAATTGCCAAGTCTTGGCAACTTCCAGGCTGCGGCCCAGGAGAAACTAAAATAAAAACATAACAGAAAGGGACTAACTCTTAAGGTATAACTTATAGCCACCCTCAGGCAGACATCTACATGATTTTAAAGAAAAATATGCAAGTCTGAAATCTATTTGGCACCTTGGCGATTGGTGCAACAGATCACGATACGAAAATATCCCCGAACTGGTGCAAGCAGGTATTGATACGGAAGTATTCCTCACTGTAAATGTTTGAATTTTAAATATAAATCACAAAAATATATATTATCTTGAAGATATTTCTGTAGAAATTCTAAATCTAATAGAAATTTAATACATAGTTTGAAGAAATAAAAGTTTTATGATATAGAACATTTTAGTTGGTTTTTCAGGAAAAAACAATCAACTTAATTCAGAAACTTCTGAAACAAACTAACATATTTCTAATTGTTAGAATTATTACAAATTATGGATAACAGTTTAGAAGAGTAAGGTTTACGATAATAAAACTGTACAGATACAGCGTTCACACTGATCAGAAATTACTTTTAAAATTAAACTTATCAATTTTTACAAAAGTACTGAAAAATCGAATTGTGCGAATTTAATCAGGTTAAGTTATTTTAGCACGGCCAACAATATATCCTTTGTTTCACGGAACGCTGTTTATTAATTCATAGAAATAAAAATACCTTCTAGGAATCGTGAAGCATGCAAGCCCAGTCATATGGTACGAAAAGGGTCGTAGACCTCTGTACTTAATAAAGATCCATGTAGCGTTTTACTATCCATTCTTCAAATATGAACCTTTTAAAGTTATTACGGTTGCAATTTATTAGCTTTATTATTTAATGTTATCATGCTAGATACTTATCAAATTTATATGAAACAAGAACCTAGCAATTTTAACCGCACGAAATGGTACATAAAAAGAAATGTCATGGACTAGCTTTACAAACTATGTAATGTAAATTGGTTTATAAGACGTATTACAGAATTAGTAATTTGTACAGAAATGAATATTTAAACTGTAAAAACAGAGAACGTCACACCCCATCGAAAAGCTGTCAACAAACATACAAAAAGTGTCGCATGATGACAGTTCAGTTAAGTTGAGAGGTTGAAATATTGGTTTGTGATGTACAGCTCCATGGTAGCCTATATAAGGATCCAAAAATAAAGAGCCTTAAAAAAAGAGGGCGCTTGCAGCATTACCCTACATTCGTGACTTCTTCTACTTCGCGACAGAATTTGGAAATTAGAAATAAAATACTTCACTCTGGAAAGCATTTTGAATCTTTAAGTTTATCGCATTCTTTAATTTTTTTATTATTAATTTCTTATTTTTAAGCTAAAGCAGCCAGGATTTGTGTTTTTCTTTATTATTTTTGTTTGGAAGTGGCTACGACAAGCGTACTACAAGCGTAATGAAATACCGAGCATGCTCAGACTTGTCTGATATTCCCTACACTTTTTAATTGAATTGCCTTTTTTTAAAGTAAAGAACAAGGGACCATTACTTTTAAAAAGACTCAGAGTAAGGAATACCGGGCAATTGTATAACGGGCAATGACCCTTAGCTTAAAAAACATTGCGTAGGGAGCATCACGCAAATGAATCTCTGACAATAGCTTTCAACAAAAGAAGAAAAAAAGAAATTAGATTAGGATATGCTGGGTAAATGTATATTCGGTAATGTAATTAATGTACCTTCTTATCACATTTACGAAAAGACATAGTTAATATTAATACTAATACGAATTCAATTACTAATATCCACAACTTGGTAAAAGTCTACATTACCGAATATACACTTATCCAGCATATCCTAAACTGATACTTTTTAATGTTAAAGGCCATTACCTGAGATTCATTAGCATGATATCCCCAAAACAAAAGATTTTTTTTAAAAGTTTATAGTCATTGCCCGGTATTCCTCACACTGAAATTTTTTTAAAGCAAAAGATCATTTGTCTTTCCCTTTAAGAAAAGTCACAACGGAATTGAAAAGTGTAGGGAATACCGAGCAAGTGAATACTTGCGCGCACAAGCAATACCGCGCGGTATTCCCTACACTTGATTTGATCCCGTATATGTAGCCTAGTTCATATTGTCTCGTAATTTTCTAAAACATTATTCTGGAAATTTAAACATTTTCAGAAATCTTATTAATAATTGAAGCTTGTACCGAGAGAGAAAACTTTTTTCCAATTTTGACTGATGTGACCCTGAACAAAGTAAAAATTGGGAACCTATTTCATAAATGTTGAGTTCAAAAGTAGTACATACAATGTAAATTTCCGGGTTCGATATAATAAGAAATCACACAGCATTCACATTGCGTACTATTCGCATATGTGATCAAACATCGATACGACTCACGTATGCGAGAGCAATTCGTCCTATTAAGCATTCTCCCCGAATTCGGTTGCGATCACCGTCAAGAAAATACGTGAACCTTATGGGTAAAATATATTTTCCCGGGAAAAACTCACTTATCAGGATTTTTTCGACAGAGATCGGAGGTACGGCAACTGCTTTCAGTTAGAATGTTCCTTTACACGTAGCTTATAAACATTCACTCGGGCGCTTGCGCAGTTGCAGTCAGTCAGTGAGAGCATATCTCACTGGATGCGAAAAATCTCATATTGCGAATTCGGATATGTGAAAGAGACCCAGATTGAGTGAGTTTTTCGCGTACAATATACATCAAACCAATGTAGTTGTCATTCCCATTTCAAAATCCGCATCCGCGATTATTTCGCATGCAGTATAAAAGCTTTTTTTTTTTTTCTATAGTGATTTCATTTGCTTTCGCTGACGTTTTTTAACTTAGTTTGCAACTTGTTTTATGTAGTTATAAACGTAATATAATTGGTAATTCTAAAAATACGGGTGACCACTCAGATCAATCTGAGTAGGGATCGAGGGTGTGCGATATTGGTCCTCGTTAAACTGTTCTACCGTAATGTGCTCGACTTCGCGTACAGGTCGTTGGGCTGCGGGGATGCCATCTTCTCTGCAGAAGATCAAAATTGTGATGGAATGTCTTCGGATCATCCTCAGGGATGTTTCCCAGACCGTCACCAATAGCCCATTGTGCAGTTCTAGTGCGACGTAAATGAACTGCAACAACAACAATATGTATCAAGATATTTTTCGCAATTATATGTTGAATTTAGGTAAAAGATTCTGAAGGATAATTATAATTGATGTCGTGTTTTTCGAGATATTAAAACGAAAACATATTGTTCAACATATGTGAATTTCGACACATACATGTGGTTTCGCATTATGCTGGTTATCGCTCGCCAACATCGAAATTGTTTGCAGATCACTTAACAACCCTCAGTGTTGTGCAGATTACTTCCAAAACGGCAAAAAATCACGATATTGGAGAGAATTGAACTTTGTTTCGTGTACAAAAATTTAAAACTTGTTAATTCGAAATCCTTCAAAATTTAGCAGCTGAAATTAACGTTCGTGAATTTCATATTGTTGGCGCCGTTGTCGAGTTTGAGTTCCGCCAGTAGCTGCCACTCCGTCCCGTCCCCCGCTCAATTCGTATTAATTTTTCATAAGCTCTCGTGCTTATTGTATTTCGTTGTTATTATTTTCAATCAAATGAACTTGTTATTGTTATTATTGATTTGCTTCATTGACGCCTATGGATACTTTGTTGTTAAGGTAGGTTAGACCCTACACATATATCTAAGCGTTTTTATAATAGAATATAAGCGCAGACAATAACTTGGGTTACAATCTATTATATATAAACTATAATATAAACTATATAATATGTAAACAATGTAATATAATAAACTATAGTATAGAATGATAAACATGACTAATTACATAAACTAAAAACTGTTAAATAAGTAAATCTTTATTTTAGATAAATTTTATCAAATTTTTTTTTTTTTTTTTGGCGATGACGATTTATTTATTGGTAGAACATAAACGCTAAAATCCATTCTCTTTCTCAGATTAAACACGGCTGATCCGAGGGTAAAATCAGAGAAGGAAGTATAAAAAATCCCTCTCCATTAACTTAGATAAGTATCAATATCAAGTTTTAATACAGTCTGACTTGACTCCCTAAAACCAAGGTCAGTCACTGGCTTTGACTTCTGGGAGTCGATGTTATTCCATATTTTGAAAGATTCGAATAAATTAATGATTTATCTACAATCCCATTCTTTCCTAATGTTTGCAATTTATCTTAATTTAATTGCTGCATCTTGCAAACCTGGAGTCCTCACCATTACACCCCTCTCACTCCATCATACCATGTCCAAGCCAAGCTTTTTTATCTTCCCATATCGGCACCTTATTTTTATGGCAACATGTCTGTCTCATGTTTTTTTTCTTTTTTTTCGGTATTTTGTGTTTTGACACCGAGAAAAGTTATTGTTCATGGAACTAAAACTATATCAATTTTTGTGTCATTATTTGCGCCTCCTTTATGTTGAGTAGGTTTATTCAAAAGAAGACCATATGGCAGTAAAATTTTCCAAAAAAGGGAAGAAAATGTGAATTTCTTATTAACTTTTTCCGAATTATATGAAAAAATTTCATCGCTAAAGAGGAAATCGAAACTTAAAATTGAAGAACTCCGGAACTCGGTGACTAAATTTAAGAGTACATGGCTGTAAGAAAGTTATAAAAGTTCAGCGATTCATTTTAATTCTTCACGTCATAAAAACCAAAAAAGAAAAAAAAGGGAAATGACGAATATGAACACAAAACTAGGGAATAGGGACAAAACTCCCCACTTTCATGAAAAATTCCAAATATTTCGAAAACTGTTGTGCGTTTTAACAACAAAAATGAAAATTACTCTTTTTTTACCATGTCAGGGAAAAAGTTTCAGCTCCCTGATAGTTAAGTCCCGCAGGGGACTGATCGTAAAGATCCGGCTCCCAGTTGGCTGCGGTCAGTGTGTAAGTGGTTGACCACTTGGATCAGTCTGCTTAAGGACCGAGGGTATGCGGTTTAGGTCCTCGTTAAACTGTTCTACCGTAAAGTGCTCGACTTCTCGTGCAGGTCGTCGGGCTACTGAAGCAGGGGAGCCATCCCCTCTGCAGAATATCAAAATTGTGATGGCATGTCTACGGATTATCCTCAGGGATGTTTCCCAGACCGTCACCAATAATCCATTGTGCAGTTTTAGTGCGACGTAAATGAACTACTACAACTATTTAATTAGCAAAAATAACTTAAAAAAAGATATGAGAAATGTCACAAAATAAAAAAAGTCATTTTATTCTCATAATTGACACACAATCACTGAAATCAAACACAAAACAAAATCCAACCATTAAAAAATAAATAAGCACATTCATTATCAGCAACCATCAACGTTAATATTTCTGCACACCATAACTTGCCGTGTGCTTTCATACAAAGTTCTGCACATCTTTGCTTTTTGACATCTGTCCTTTTTATCATCATGAATTTTACGCTGCATGGGTGGAAGATTATCTCTGTTTTGTAGCACTTGCACGGGTAAAGTATCTTTTATGGGCAAAGCTGCATTTCGGTATTTAACCCTTCTAGAATGGACAGAGGGAATTAAATTCCGTTGGTTTAAACTATCCCGATGTTTAAGAGAAGCACAACAAGAAGAGTTAATATGCATTCCTCTTCTCAAATGCCAGGAACAGCAGGTCGAAAGTTTCGAGTTTGACTTGCAACATGAACCAGAATCATGATGGTCTTTTCTTCGGTGGTGTCTTTGTCTATGAGGCTTAATTGCTCTATTGATATTTCTTTGGGGTAATGTATGGAGCATATTTGTGCGAACCATATCTGCATATGGAGCTTGCGGATGACGTGGGTGAAGAGATACACCTGGTGGTAAAGCCCCTAATCTTGGAAGTTGACCTAAAAATGGATCTTCTTTTGCATCCGTTCGAAGAAAGTTGTGCGATGGAAGTGATGCAGGATATTGATTTGAGCTATGAAATTGAAAGTTTCTTGTCCTAGACAAATGAGAACGTTGTGACGGTAGATTTTGTGAATGATTTATCGTTCTACTAGAATTAGTTACGTTTTCAATATTTCTATTACGCCCAAGTGAATGGAAACTATAAGTCTTGTTTGAAGAAGGTAGGTGATCATGATTTCGAGTAAAAGAAGTATCTCTTCCTCGAAAACTAGAAGTACTGTCTGGGGGTTTTTCTGTCGGTATTTTTTCAATATCAATAACAATTTCATCTGGTTTAAAATTTCGGAGAATGTCGTGTAAATGCACTTGATTTGGAGGAAATACAGGTTGATTTTTGACAAACTTATCTGAATTTTGCTGCTTATCATCGCTATTTCGAATATTAAAATTAGTGGGCACATTGTGGTTGTTGAAACGCAAATGTGGGATGGAATTGATATTATTTTTGTTTTCAACACTTATTTGAGAGTGATCGAACGCAGGATTAAGCTTGCCCGAGAGAAAATTATTTTCGAACAAAACTTCACTTTTGTGATGATGATTTATGTTTTTAGGTAGAGAATCACTATAATCAATCTTATCTAAATTAAGAGTATTTGTATTTAGAGAATTCGTAGCAAGAAAATGTTTTTGCTTTGAAGCTGGAGTAGAAGTCGTTGTCTGAGAGATATGCTCAACATAAAAATTATTGAATGGAACCCGATCTTGAGTTGGTGATGTTTCACTATCGATTGCTTTTAAGCTATCGTCTGAAACAGTCTTCGTTCTTTGACGATTACGAATTGTGTTAAGAGAAACAGGACTATAGGAATCGTGTGATCTCGAAGCTGCTAGATTTCCATTTAAGTTATGAAATCCTTCAAATATTGAGTGAACATCTTCATCAGGTTGAACAAAAGTTTCATGTATGCCCGGGACATGGCCAACAGTTTCAAACTTTTTAGAGATTTTGGGAATTTCTAATACATTTATCGAGACATCTGGATTCTCATTATGCTCTTCTGGAATATCGCTAGTCAATAAAATTTTCCCTTCGGGAATATCTAATGTCTCATTTGAGAAATCTCCCTCAGTTTCGATATTACTTTTTCGATAATGAGCATTTAAAGTCCCGTCATTTGTATTCCTGTTATTCATCTCACCATTTCGATTTTGTAAAGTAGATGGATATAGAAGAGGATCCCATTCAGATGACTGAATATATTTTTTATTGTTACTATCAACAACCAAATCACGATTTAAATAATCTTCATATTTTGTTAAACTCCCAGGACTTTGGTGGGTTGAACTATTCAAATCGGTCTCCAGTGGTCGCTTATTTTTGTCCAAATAATCTGAACTGAAATTTTCATTCTTAATCTTTGGGTGGTCTCCGTGCTTAAAATTTCTTTCCGGTACAAATAAAGAACTGTAATGGTTATCTCCCCCATGCCTTTCGAATTGATTTTCAAGAGGCAAATCATCTTTGGATACATTCTCAGACGTTGAATTCCAACTCTGCAAACCATTTTTTCTGCTCTGTGGTTCTGGAATACTCTAAAAGAGAAAAAAATACACATTAATTTATTTGTGCAAGTCACTTTCCAGCAAAAGTTGGATTCTACAAAGTTTACCCGCATTCAGAATTTTACTAATTATTGTAAATTTTAAGATACGTAATTCGCAGTTCGAAGAAATGTTGATCTGGAACTTCGTAACTACTTTCATAACATGACCGATGAATCCTGACTTCTAAACTACATCTGAAGTATTTTTAATTTCGTACAATTATTCTTGATAATTTTTCCATAAATATGCATTTTGTACTAATAAAAATAAACTCTTTTCCATTGCGCTGGCGTTAGTAACGTAACGTAGAAAAAAGTGAATTTACTTGCTTTTAAGTCGATTGAATATGCTTCGGCAACTTTATCGCCTGCGCTGGCGAAAAAGCACGTAAAAATATAATTAGTTCTAATTACAAATTTTACCTGATTATTGGTTTCAGTTACAACTGGTTCAAAGCCGAAGATTTTTTTTTTGTGAGATATGATATACAGAGCGTAACGACGAAACCTGCTGCGATTTTTCGCAATTTTCACCCTCTCAACACAGTTTGCAATCCCATGGATTGGTCAAAGTTTTCATTCTTTTAATGCCTTTTATCACTTTTCAGAATTTATCAGCCGAATTTTATAACACACTGTATGCACTAAATGTTCTATAATCACCGTCCTCAATACATATTTTTTGAATCCTCGTTGTTCCAGACGTTTTCCAAGCATTACAAATTCTTAAAAGGAAAACGAGATTAAAAAAAAAATCAAAACCTGGCTGCCAGAAGAAACTGAGTAAAGGTAAAAGGTAATTCTTAAAAACACTTTCAAGTTTCATCTGGAATCAAATCGATTTTGATGTTTTAACACCACTTTCCTTCCACAGTAATTCGTTAAAAATTTGACGCGATCTCACTTTTTTTTCTAACTTGAATATTGATTTTCGAATACATTTTTGACGAAGATTCTAAATATATATGTATGAAGACTATGAAGGACAGTGATATGCGAATATCCTCCATATGTCCACGATTACCTGTTCTTCGAGAGTAGACTGTGATGAAGTAGCACTTGGTTTGCGGTATCGACGTCTAGTTTCATGTCCATGGTGTGAATATTTAACTGTATGGAAACCATGACGGCTGTACGATCTCTCTTCAACCTCGTCGACTTCTCTCTTTAAAATACCTGCATAGCAAGAAAAGTTAGTTAGAAGTTTAAACTAATATAACGGGTATCTTTCATAATGATCGGCGAGAAATACTAACAGAGACTGTTTAAGATTTTTTTTCTTTCTGAATAAGCTCTCATAGCCAGGGCCGTTTTATCCATTAGGCACTGTAGGCAACTGCCTAGGGGCCCCGCCACGTTCAGGGGCCCTGTGCTACAGAGAAAAAAATTGACAATGTTTCTTAAACAGTAAAAATTTAATTCGAAATTTCAATGACGATTGTCTTGCTCTGTACATTACATCGACGCTATTTTAGTGCATTTCTGAACGCATTCCAAATTAGACATTAATATTATGGTAGTTAGTTCATATATAACGCAGTAATATAATCGCAAGCAATTTTATCGCGGTAATTTTAACGCCGACTAATCAGATGACTATACAGCAAGAGCAGCTTTTTTAACACAACACGCTTGAAAAACGCGCAAAATTCTACGTTGTGAATGCACACTTACTGTTCTGGTACCTACCATAGGTATGTATATTCTATGGCCAAGCTACCAAAGAGTATGTAAAAATAAGGTTGGCAGTACTGGTTCTTTCGTCTCATGACTGGGGAATTCCCCGATCCGCTAAATACATACTGCAATGGCCGTATTTTGGACTGCCATACTAGATCGGATCAATGGTGTCAGCAAATCTTTACAAAAGAAAACAATTGAACTTCGAACGGCAGTCCATCTTTTAAAATCGCTTTTAGATTTTTTAATTTCACAGAGAGAATTATTTGACGACTACGAGACTAAGGCAAATGAGAAAACTGATACTCAATACAGTGATGAGAATCAGCGTGTGCGAAAAAGGAAAAGGCATCACGATGACGGACCTGCAAAAGAAGTTGTGCTCGGAGGAAAAGAGAAATTAAAAGTTGATACATATTTGCCAGTACTAGACATGCTGTGTACAGAACTGCCGCGGCGCCTAGAAGCTTACCGGGAAATAAATGATCTGTTTGGGTTTCTAACAGATTTCTCGACAAAATCCGACGCTGAAATTAAGGCTTGCACAAAGTTTAAGGAACATTATTTCGAGGACATTGAGCCTGAGTTTATAGACGAAATGGTGCAGTATAAATACTTCATCTTACAATTAGAAGACGCCGGGAAAAAATTGTGCCTGGCGAAGAGTCTTACAAACTGATTATTGGTAAAATGACACAATCAACTTTCCCGAATGTAATGACAGCTTTGCAAATATATAGAAGTCTAATGATTACAAACGCCACTGGTGAACGAAACTTTTCCAAATTGAAATTAATTAAAAACTGTCTTCGTTCAACTATGTCTCAAAACCGTTTAAATTCATTGGCCATAATGGCAATTGAAAATGATGTATTGGAAAAGGTTAACTTTCAGGATGTCTTGAACGATTTTGTAACAAAAAAAGTTAGAAGAGTTAATATTTAAGCTTATTGTATGATTTTTTTAAATGCATATATTAATTACTTATATTCTTTCGTTTGATTAAATATTTTTATTGAATAATATGATAATATACCTATGTAGTAAAAAACAGCGTAATTATGAATGAAGTGTTGTGTTAGCGAAAAAATATATTAGGAAGTTAGAAGACGGAAGGGGGGGGCGGGGCGAGGCGAGCATTGCCTAGGGGCCGCGACATGCATAAGCCGGCCCTGCTCATAGCATTCTTTTTAAAGTATAGACATTAGTAAAACTATCAACATAAATTATAATTATGCTGTATACTACTACTAATCGATACTTAGTTTGTCGTACGCTGCAACATTGCTTTAAGATTAGAAATACTTGAGAGACATAATTTTGGTGGCTGAATTTAAATGCATCTCTGGAATTGAGCTAAATTTAAACAAGCCTTATAGAAGGGGACAATCATGATCATTAATTGTTCTTTTCACGAAATACAAATGTGGATAGGTTTCACTCAAAAATTCCTTTATGATTTGTTTCTCAAGAGATACTTTATCTTTTGAGTTGGTTACAAAATTACAAGGTTATAAAGAAAAAACTAATCTTCCCTTTACACCAAACCACTGCTGATCTTATCTTCCAAGATAAAAGCTACTCAATATCAAAATGGCTTAGGAGTAACATAGTTTTGGTTTATTTGAACCAATTAAACATTTCCGGAGCAGTGTACCAGTCCGCGAATTTGTTGCCCTGCATTGCAAGCAGCTATACATCTACAGAAACAAAAGTTTGCTGTTACAAATTGTATGTGTCCAATTTTATTGTATTATATTTCTATTTGTATATTAGTCCTGTTAGTATATTTCGAATTCACCTTAGTATTCGCTGCGTGCTATGATTGATTTCTGATTTGATTTCAAGAATTAGTGAGTATATACGATACCTAAATCAACTGTTCTAACCGTAAATTGTATCGTAATAACTCTGACTTTCATGTGTATCATATCTTATTGTTTTTATAAATGTTAATGTTACTGATCACTGAAAATGGTGGCAACGACTTTACACTAAAAATAGTGTAAAGAATATTTCTGGCGCTTTACTACAAGAACTGTCGCTAGCGTCAGATTAAACGAAGAATCATTTCTGGTGTTCCCCTACATCACTTTTGGGGCTAAATTGCCATCATATATGGTTTTAAGGTACACTAAAAAAAATATTTACTGAGAAAATTTGTATAAAATAATAATAAGCCATTCTGGTAAAAGTGGAGAAATGGTAATTTTTGTTATATCTCAAGCTATCATTTTTGTTATATCATATGTTACATTCATATTTTCAAGCTATTTAAAAGCGTTAACTTCTAGTTATAGTTTCAAAAAGTTTAAAATGTATGTACCTATTAACTATTTTAACTGTAATTAGTTGACTAAGTAATTAGTAACAGCTGGTGTAACTGTAACTGTAATTAATTGACATCATTATACCTTTAATTTTATCACAGTCAAAAACTTGTTTAAGAAAGCAGTTTTTTATTTTTATTTTAGTGGTTCAAAAAATTCCGACTGTTTTTTCTTTTAACCTAACATCCAAGTACACTGAATACAAACTTTTGGTTTTATCGAAAGAACAGGTGCTACTATTGTAACTATTTAACTATAAAGATAGGCTCAATTTTCACCTTCATTACTTTTTATTTATTTATTTTTATCATATATATAAAAAATAGACAGCTGGAACAATTAAATATTTGACAACAACATTTAATTTTCTTTTTTTGCTGAATGCGAATGTTTAAAATAAACCTAATTATGGTATATTTAATTTTAATAGCAAATGATAAAAATTCAAAAACATGATAAATTTTAATTTAAAGACACAATTTTCCAAAGCACGACGCTTGTTGAAGTAAAGTTGTTATTTGAAGTTTCATTCGAAATTTTTGGCATATACTGAATGCAATACAGTTTTAATTCCGGGGGTACATTAGATAAGTTGGGTAACAATTAAAAGCAATATCATCATTAAAATGATTCATTGAGGTAGATAATACGTAACAAATAGTATGGAAGAATTAATTTAAAAAGTGGGTTTAATTGAAGGTATTAATTCCTCCGTAAAATAATATTAGTATGGCTTACGGTGATTTCCTTGTGGCATAATGAGCCAGGTGTTCATTTTTCGGCAAAAAACAGCTGTTTGCTGACCGGCTATGTTTCGTATTTCTGTGGGTGTTAAAGCCGACTTGTGAGGAACTAAAGAAAGAACTTTCGGATGGCTTTCAATAGGGCTCTGAAATAAAATAAAAAATTCAAATGCATTATGTAACAACTAAAAAATGAGAGAGAAATAAATATTGCATAGCACAGGGTATAAAAGCCTTACTTAGGTAATAAAATTTCTATCGTAGTACCCTCTTGTGTTGCCGTTTGTTAGTAGCAAAAATTGCACTGGATTAATACCTGTTTTCACTGTCTGATTATCGCATGGGGAGAAGGCCCCACATTCTATGGGCCCTCAAATTTTTAAGTTTATGAAGTTAAGTTATTTAAGTTTATATTTTAAGTTTTTTTAATATTTTAAATTAAATTTTTTTTATCTAAAAAGTGTCAGTATTTAAGTGATTGCTTAGTAGAAATTTGTTCCTTACCAGTTCCTTGAAGTAAAATTAATTGTAGTTTATTATAATCAAGAAAGAGCACTTGCCCAGGCACCATATTCCATGGGTCCTCAAATCTTTTTACACAAATTTTTAATTTTTCAAGTTTTTTATATTTTAAATTTAATTATTATTCTTATTTATTTATTTTTTCATAAATTTTTTCAGATTTTTTATTTTTTTAGCATTTTAGTGATTGCTTTATGGAAATTTAATAAAAATAAATTAAAAATAAAATAAAAATTTAATAAATTAAAATTTGCTACTTAAAGAGTCATATTTTCATACATCATACTCAGCCCTGTATGCATCTTTTTTACAGCAACCTTAATAGTGCTTGCATGACTAATGGATTTTATAAAATAATGAAAAAGAAAGCTTAATCTTTTTATTTTAAAAAGGAAAAATTTAAATTCTGGAAAGAATTTTACATAATTGTGTATACATTTTAACTCTTTAATCATCAATTATTATTTTATCCTTTTAAATATTGTTTTATAAAGTGTTTTCTTTTCCTAAATGATCAAATGTGTAATAGGAAAAACAGTTTGAATTGCGCATTCGAAATAACTTTTCAAAAACATTTTGAAGTATATAAATTCGATCATCTTTAAAGACGTACTTTTTACGATATCTCAGAATCTAGTATTTTTCCCGTTAGAGTTTTCTCTTATATTGAAGGAATCAAATATAAGCAATATATGCACCCCTTTTCATTTACTTTGACGTTGTTTACAAATCCTGTATCTTACGAAGTAAGAGTATTGCGGCATGCGGATAAATATTCTGCAATTGATTGAGTATGAGCTAAAATTTTCCGAAAAGAAATAAAGCAAAAATTTCCGAGTGATTGACAAGGTGTTTTTACTCGTGGAATCTCAAAATTGCCGGTATGTGACACTGTTTGGCTTTAAATATTAATCCTAACCCTTAAAAGTAACTATTTCACACGAAAATTATATTAAATAACTATATATTCTGTGAAATAATTATATTTTAAAAACTGAGATAGATATGATTCACATTTTTTATGTTATATGTCAACATAAAAATATGCCAAATGTGTTATGTTATGAGTAAAAAAAAAGTGTAAATTTCTTGATAAAGCGTTAGTTAAGTTCCTAAAAAGTTAAACATGACCTTCGTTAGAAGCCAAAAAAGAAAAACGCAACTTCATACAGTTAATGAGATTTTGACGAAAAATATTTGTCTATACGTCTATACCTATTACTATTTCAATCTGAACAATTGTGAAACTGTTCATCTTAGTTCTCTAACTATGTTAGATATAGGATCTCTAATGTAATATCGAGACAGTTTTATGATTTTTCATTCGTTTTTATAATTCATTTACTTAAAATACTTACCTGAACTTCGCTGAGAGCGTTAATTTCATGATTCAAAGTTTCATCCGTTAGTCTTCCTAAAAAACATTCCCGGTTAGTCAAATCTTTATAAGCAATTGTACGCTGAAAAAAAAATCACAAAATATTACTAATTATCAATAATACATCTGAATAAAACTGTGATATTGGTTTTCTTACTGCCAGTATATCATTTCAACATTATAAAAGTTTAAGCATTTAGGCTGATAATATTTTCAACCATTAATAATTAATTCAAAAAACACACATTTCCATATAAAAGACCCAGACACACCCGTTTCTTATCTTTTTTCTTTTAATATCTTTTTCAAGTTTTTTTTTCTTCCTTATTGCAACGAGTTTGTCTCGTTATTTTCTCCTGTAATTTTGTGTTTCGAAGTGTTGTGTTTCTTGTTTATAGAATCAAAACAATGATATGCACATTTTAGATTCGCTTTTTAATACTTTGCGCAAAGTATACCGTTTCTTCATACCGTTCAATCGATTTTACATTACATAAATAAAAGCTGAATAAATCCTCGCTATAGGTATAGAAAATTTATACTTATTTTTTTGAGAAGTTTAATTCATTTTTAAGTTTGATTAATTAATTAAAATATTTACAACAAAACGGTTTAATTAATTAAAACATTCCAATACAGTATGAAATATGTACAATAAAAATAAAATAAAAAGCCATTCTTGAATCTTCAGGTTCAGATGAGAGTATACAGTCACTAATATGGACCTAATGGTCCATACAACAGATATTTTATCCTAGATAACTATACAGTCACTGGGATGGCAAATTGCTCCGCTTTGTAAAAATATTTTTTCCAGTGGAAGCGAAGTTAAAGTTATTTTTAGTTTAGTCAATTTTATTTTAAGTTACACTGGTTAAGAAATTAAGAAAATTTACACACTCGGTGGATTATCTCCAGAACTACTGGACCGATTTTAATTAAATTTGATCTGTACATATATTGATACAATACAAAACAAATAAACATTCAACAATTCTAATACACATGCATGAACATGCGTAACCCTCGTTGGAGTCGGAAGGTATGAAATTGCCACAGGAAATGACAAACTGCCTTATTTCAAGTATGAAATCACGGTACAAGGCCTGTATATCTATAAGACGGGACCATACTCCCTATTAACCCTTATTTTTAATTATTATTCAGCAACCGCAGTCTCATACCTTCCGACTCTAATGAGAATTACGCGTGATCATGTATTACAATTATTGAATGGTGATTTGTTTTGTTTTGTACCAATGTATGTACATATCAAATTTCATTAAAATCGATCCAGTAGTTCAATAGATAATGACCAAGTCTGCAGTGTGTTTTTCCACCACAACACATCGAAAATTTAAAGCCTTATATAAAATACAACTCTGCTGCAGTTGTCTCACGAAGAGATTTGTAAAGAGATGGCAAAAATTATCCCTGATTCAACTTATTCTAAGTTTACTTTTTTCATCTCAAACAATTTAATGAAATTTTCGCCGAAAGCGGAGCAGTTGACATCCCTGCAGTCGTATAATATAAATTTTCGACTTACCAATCTTGACAATTCGTGACGTTACAGTAATATTTCAACAATTTCAAAGATTTCAAATTACACATTTTATTGCTTACCTGTGTTTTGATAAAAATTTAGAAGCATTTCATTTAAGCCACGCGATTTTTTTCTTTTTTTTTAATAAATAAAAGGATATAAAAATATGTGTCTTCAACTTAGTCTATGTGACGAATCATTAGTCACAGAGTAACACAGATTTAAATTCAGTTATTTAGGATTAAAGATGTCTGGTTTATCTGAATTTGGAGAAAAAAAATTTAGAAACATTTAATTTAAGCCATGTCAGATTTTTTTTCACAAATAAAAGGAATGTAAAAATAAGTGTGTTTTTAACTTAATCTATGTGACGAATCATGAGTCACAGAGTAACACAGATTTAAATTTCGTTATTTAGGGTTAAAGATGCCTCGTTTATCTGTATTTAGAGAAAAAAAATTGAATTATTTCATTTTAGCCATGTCAATTTTTTGTCATAAATAAAAGGAATATAAAAATAAGCGTGTTTTTAAATTAGTATATGTGACGAATCCTTAGTCACAGAGTAACACAGATTTAAATTTAGTTATTTAGGGTTAAAGATGTCAACCAGATATGTCAGGTTTTTTATTATTAAACGATTTATTTATTAAAATGACAAAATCTGCATATAAAATATCTATTCTGCATCTGCATCTAAATGGAAGTTTCTTCGAAAGAAAAAAATAACTAAAAAAAAATCTTTTTTTTTTCTTTAAAGAGTATGTAACTTGTTTCGTGCGCTACTAAATATCTTTTTTGGACGTGATATGTTAGAAGGTACAAACATTTCCCGACAAGAGATAAAGAAAAATATTATTGCACTTTACTCTCGAATAAAAATACCTCTCTGGATCGTAAATCTGCAAGAAAAGGAGGAGAGGAAAAGGATAACCAAAATACTGGGTCAGGCATCCCCTTTTCTGCCCAATCAAACCGCACCCCTCTACGTCTTTTTTTTTTATGGCTGAATTAGGATTCAAATCACACGTTTCATAATTACACGGAGCTTTTAGTTATTTTTTTATAATTCACCCCCTGCCTACGTAAAAAGCGAACTTAGTGGTGAAGAATCAATTGAAACAATTTAGAGTTGTCAAGAAACGCGGTAGGTAAGAGCAAAGGAGAAGGAAAATAATAATAATAAAAATACTTTGAAACAATTTGCTGTAGTTTTTTTTCTTCCTTTTTAACAAAGCTAACCTGTTATCTTGCAAATCGTTTTATTTTTATAGGATTTCAGATATATATGCTATGCGTGGTAAAAGGAGTAAAAGGATTAACATATTAGCATGTTCGGAAAAGATTCTCTAGCATTTTATTCTTTTGACCATACACTACTTTTAAAGTAGGAAGAGATTTTTTGATTACAATATTTTCATTCATACTTTTATCGATATTTTATTCATGTATTTTTTTTAATTCAGAGTATGAAAAGAAATAAATATGTAAAAGTGAAAATTAAAAGTGATGGAGCGCATCGTTCATGGTAATATGTTTTGTTGAAATTTCTAACTAAATAAATCTAATCAAGCTGCTGATCCTTAATATTAAACCATAGAAAAACTTTGTTTTCTGCTATATATGTTATAAATAAAGAGAGAAATACATCGATAGATCGTGAAATAATGATACTTCTGAACATTGTTAACGATATTTAAAAAAGTATTTAAACGATTTATCGTGAATGCCATGGATTATGTCATGTATCTGCGATTATAAATTTAGCCGAAGTTAAAAAGTTTTGTGTTAAAAAATTTGGCAACTTGTAAAAAATTTGGCAAAATTAATTACACGCATTTCAAAGATTCTGAGAAGATGAAATAAAATTCTCAAGCTCTTATATGAATCCATAGAACGGATTGAGTCCTAATTTAGTATCTTCTCAAAAAATTAAGGTAATATAGGATAAAAATATATAATTTTATAAATATATAATATAGGATATAAATATTAATATATAATTTTAGGAATAAATATAAAATGACAAAAAAAACTTGGAATAAATACTTTATAAGAGAGTGGCTTAAGAAATTAACTGGGTTAACTAAGTTCAAAAAATATCGTTTCAAACACGACGTTTTTATGCGTTTATAGTTGAACTTTCTATCAACTTTCTCAATCGTCACTCCTTATACTGCAGACGCATCCAGTTGATGAAGTCAAGTGGAATATTGTGACAGTTATAAATAAACGACCAACAAGTAGCCGATCATATTCAAAACCTAATTAAAATAGTGACAATCGTATCGAAATGAGTAATTGCCGAAATTTAAGTTGATTGCTGGGAAGTGTGGATTGCAGGATGGGATTGTGTAATCAAACCTTCTTTTATTGTGTTGCACTCAGAAGTGTTTGGGAATCTTATGACACAACATAAATTACAAAAGGCTTTTTTAAAAAAAAGTCTTTTAAAAAATACACCTACCATTAATCATTCTACGCAATAAATTTTTTATGAATGCATTGGGAGAGGTCGGAAAACCATCAGTTGGAAGCAATTGGTAAACAAAGTATGAGCAAACAAACAAAAAAAATTTGTTTGAAAGGAAGATACTAAATGTTTCCAAAAACAGAAAAAATATCTAAATTTTCTTTTTTGTATTTTCTAAAGACATGCGTAATATAAAGTATGAAAATGATTTTCCGAATTTAAAATTTTCGAAGACCAATTTAGGCCTTATTTCTGAACGAATTCATGTTCAGTGATCATTTATGTCCCCTTCCTAAAATTTTTAAATCGCCTTTAGAGTTCATCTTCAACACAAATATGCAAATATTTCAAAAAGAAAATCGATCTTTCACATTCACGTACGCAGGTTCTGCACATAGCAGTTACAACGGCGCAATTTCGGTTCTCCACAAAGCTTGCACAGAATGAACGTTCGTAAACGTTGGGGGTGCAGCGTTTAAGTACTAAATCTCTCAAATAAAATACAAAGGATGTGCTTTATTACTGAATGCAAAGCTATTTTCTATATTTGACTTCAAAATTATTAACTTCAAGTGCGTAAAAGTTACTTCGATAAACATTTGTAGCTTTGCATTTGCTTTTGAAATAAAATTTCACAGCTCTAAAGATAAAAATTTCACCAGGATTTATAAAATTGTCTTTTTCTTGAATAATAGTCGATTTCTTCCCTCCTCGTACAAAGTACTTAATCTTATTTCAATTTTTTACCAATACAATTAGATTCTTTATTCAATACTTTTACGAAAAGTCATCATTGGTCTTAGAGATTTCCATTCAAGCCTCACTCTTTATCTTTCTCGCCTTCTCAATACAAGGCTAATCCAAATCCGTTATCTGCTTTTAATTTCGTAAGCAACTAGCTGTTGTTAGTACTTATACATTAAGCAGCATTTCATTCTTTACTTTATCGAAATCCTTTTATGATAAAAATTTTACCAAAATGTCTTCTTCTTCTTGATTAATATTCAACTAACCAACCTTTAGTTTTCATGGTGTTCAGTTTACATAATTCGGAAGACATTTT